CTTAGACTCAGATTTCCATCTTCAATGATGTTCCATGATCTATGTGTCTATTTTTGCACCATGTTGGTTTTATGACTATAGCTTTGTAGTATACTTTGAGATCTGGCAAAGTAATCCCCCAGCTTTGCTCTTTGTGTTCAGGGTTGCTTTGGCAATCTGGGGTCTTTTGTGCTTCCATACAAATTTAAGGATTTTTTTTCTAATTCTGTGAAGTATGTCATAGGGATTTTGATTGGGATTGCACTGTATCTATATAACGCTTTTGGTAGGATGGTCACTTTCACAATATTAATTCTTCCAATCCATGAGCATGGGAGGTCCTTCCATCTTCTGGTTTCTTCCTCAATCTCTTTCTTTAAAGATTTAAAATTTTCATTGTAGAGCTCTTTAATGTCTTTGGTCAGGTTTATTCCAAGATTTTTTTTTTTTTTTTTTTCAGTTACTGTGAATGGGAGGGTTTCCCTGTTCTCTTTTTCTAACTGCTTGTTATTCGTATATAGAAAGGCTACTGGGTTTTGTAGATTAATTTTGTAACTTGCCACTTTACTGAAAGTGTTGATCGGTTCTAGGAGTTTTCTGGTGGACTATTTGGGATCTCTAAGGTATAGTCTTATATCATATGCAAAAAAGGAATAATTCCACCTCTTCTTTTCCAATTAGTACTCCTTTAATTTCCTTCTCTTGTCATATTGCTCTAGCAAGAGTTTCAAGTACTATATTGAAAAGGAGTGGAGATAGTGCACAGCCTTCTTGTTCCTGATTTTAATGGGAATGCTTCAAGTTTTTTTTTTTTTTTAACATTTAGAATGATGATGGGTGTGGGTTTGTTGTATATAGCTTTAATTATGTTGAGGTGTGTTCCCTCTAGTCCAATTCTCTTTAAAACTTTTAACATGAATGCATGCTGAATTTTGTCAAAAACCTTTCTGCATCTATTGAGATGAGGATATAGGTTTTGTCTTTGAGTCTATTTAAGATTGATGATGTTTATTGACTTGCATATATTGAACCATCCCTGCATCTCTGGAATAAAGCCTACTTGATCATGGTGAATGATCTTTTCAATGTGTGTCTGCATGCAGTTTGCAAGTATTTTCTTGAGAATTTTTGCATCTATGTTCATTAAGGATATGGGTCTATAGTTTTCTTTTGTGGTTGTGTCTTTACCTGGTTTGAGTATTAGAGTGATGCTGGCTTCATAGAAGGAATTTGGAAGTTCTCCCTCTGTTTCTATCTTTTTAAATAATCTAAGTAGTATCGGTTGGAGGTCTTGCTTTAAATGTCTGGTAGAATTCTGCTGCAAAACCATCTGGGCCTGGGCTTTTTCAGTTGAGAGGCTTTGTATTACTGTTTTGATTTCCTTATATGTTATGGGTCATTTAAACTGTTGATCTCTTCTTGGTTTAACTTTGGTGGTTCCCATGATTTCAGATATCCATCCATCTCTTTTAGGTTTTCAAATTTAATAGAGTATAGGATTTTAAAGTATTCCCTTATAATGGCCTGGATCTTCTGGGTGTTTGTAGTGATGTTTCCCCGTTCATCTCTGATTTTGTTGATTTGGAGTTGCTTTCTTTCTTTCTTTTGGTTAACTGGGCTAAGGGTCTATCTTGTTTAGCTTTTCAAAGAACCAGCTTTTAGATTCATTGATTCTTTGTATTGTTTTCTTTGTTTCCATTTCATTAATTTCTGCTCTGATTTTTGTTACTTCTGCTCTTTTGCTGTGTTTGGGTTTAATTTGTTCTTGCCTTTCCAGAGTCTTGAGTTGCAGTGTTATGTCATTTATTTGTGCTCTTTCTGATTTTTTTAATGTAGGCACTTAGAGCTATAAACTTCCCTCTTAGGATGGCTTTTAAAGTGTCTCGGAGGTTTTGTTGCATTGTATTATCCTTTTCATTGAATTCCAGGAACACTTTTATTTCTTTCTGAATTTCTCCTTTGACCCATTCATAATTCAGGAGTGTGTTGTTTAATCTCTATGAGTTCGTGCAGAGACTCGGGCTTCTTCCAGTGTTGATTTTAAGTTTTACTTCATTGTGGTCTGATAGAATGCATGAAATTATTTCATATTTTGTATTTGTCGAGGTTTGTTTTGTGCCCCAGTATGTGGTCAGTTTTTTGAGAAAGTTCCATGGGATGCTGAATAGAAGGTGTATTCTTTGGTGCTTGGGTGGAATATTCAGATGATGTCTGTTAGGTAATTTAATTCAGACATCTCTCTGTTTATTCTTGGTCTGGTTGACCTATCTAATGGAAACAGCCAGGTATTGAAGTCCCCTACTATTACTGTGTTGGGGTTAATCTGTGTCTTAAAATCCTGTAGTGTTGTATTTATGAATTTGGGTACACCAGAGTTTGGTGCGTATATGTCCATGATTATAGTATCTTCTTGATTAATTGTTCCTTTGATCAGTGAAGTGACCCTCTATATCTCTGATTAGTTTTACTTTGAAGTCTATTATTTTGTCAGATATTAAAATTGGAACCCCTGCTTGTTTCTTAGTGCTATTTGCTTGAAGTAGTCTTTTCCATCATTTCATCTTAAGGTAATGTCTGTCCTTGAAGGTGAGATGGGTTTCTTGCAGATAACAAAAAGATACTATTTCTTAATCCATTCAACTAGCCTGTGACTTTTGACTGGGAAGTTCAGTCCATTGATATTTAAAGTTAAAACTGAAAGATGTGTATTGGTTGCAACCATTTTGAATACTGTGTGCATTCTTCGTCTAATTTTGTGTTTCCACAATTATACCCTCATTTACTTTATGTTGCCTCTGGGATAGTATAGTTGTTCTTTTCTCTGTTCTTTGTATTGTTTCAAGTATTCTTCGAAGGGCAGGTTTTGTGGACATGTGTTATTTCAACCTATTTGTGTAGTGGAAGTTTTTTCATTCCCCTTCGACTATAATAGACATTTTTGCTGAGTAACGTATTCTGGGTTGACATCTACAGTCATTTAGAACTGGAAATACCTTGGTCCAGGCTCTTCTGGCTTTCACAGTTTGCATTGATAAGTCAGCTGCAATTCTGATGAGCTTTCCTTTATATGTGACTTGTTTTCTTTTGCAGCTTTCAGTATTCTCTCTTTGTTCTATACATTTAATGTTTTTACTATGATATGCTGTGGGGAGTTTCTTTTCTGGTCCTGTCTCTTTGATGTTCTATGTACTTCTTGTATTTGTATGGGGATGTGTCCTTAATTTTGGCAAGTTCTCTTCTACAATCCTGCTTAAGAACTGGTCAATACCGTTAATGTGAAATTCTTCTTCCTTGATGCCTATGATACATAGATTTGGTCTTTTCATGGTGTCCCACATCTCCTGCATATTCCATTCCTTTGTTTTTTAAAAGAATTTTTCAAAATCTTTGAGTGGTCCAGTTCTTAAACTTTATCCTCCAGTATTAGTATTCTGTTTTCCATTTCATTCATTCTAGCTTTTTCCTTTTGTTTCAAATTGGCTTACTGAGTTTTGCACTTCTTTCTTGATTTCAGCCTGAATTTTCTTCAATGTTTCTATCTCTTTTCTGAATTCAGTCAGAAGTTTATTCCTATCTTTTTTAGTTCTTTGATTTGTTTACGTGTTCTTTAAATTCACTGAATTACTTGATCATGTTCATGATTGTTCTTTTAAATTCTGTGTCCTGGGTTATCTCTATGGGGTTCTCACTGTAGACTCTTCTATGGAACTGGTAGAGTTTGATGGGAACATGCTGTTTTGGTTTTCCCTGTTGTTATTTTTCTGTTGCACTTTTGGCATGTGGATTTCTTTTGTTGTTTGTGATTCTGGTATGAAACTCAAGTCTTCTTTTGTTGAGTTGAAATTTGCTTGTTTGTATTATTGGTGTGCCTTGGTTGTTTTCTTATTGTGTATGTCAAGCTGGTTGGTCTAGGTTTCAGGTTCTCTCAGATTTTATTTTGGAGGAAATGATGGCTTCAGATCAGCTACTCAGGAACTCCCACAGAGGCCCAAGTCAGGCTCCAGTCAGGTACACTCAGGCTTCCTTCTAACTTTTAGATTCCTACTATTGGGTACTCAGAGCACAATCTGGGAAGTTAGGTATGAGGAGGCCTGATTTTTAGACTCTCAGACAGTCTGCTGAGTTCTCAGCCCCTGTACCAAGCAGAGGCCAGATTAGGTACTCTGGCTTTCTGCTAAGGTCTCTGCCCTACAATAGGGAAGGTCTACCCTGGGGCCATGGGAGGGGCCTCACATAATCCCAGTTAGGGGGTTGGGTATAGCATGATTTGGGGAAGCTTTGGCGAGCTCACCACCATGTGGAGGCTGGATCCAGGTGCTCTTAGGTGGTCTGCTGAGGTCTCAGTCCCTACCCCAGGCAGAGGCCAGATCAGGTACTCTCAAGCAGTCTGCTGAGTTCTCAGTGCCTACGCCAGGCTCAGGCCAGATCTGGAACTCTCAGGTGATCTGCTGAGTTCTCAGCCTCTACACCAGATGGAGGCTGGATCTGAAATTTTCTTAATAATATATTAGAGTTCTTAATTTACTGAGGCTAGTAATCCTTTTTTTTGCTGGTTATACTAAGTTTTATCATTTACCATCTATTTTTCCCCCCTTTGGCTCAACTAAAGTTTTCAACTTTTACAAAGTCAAAGCATATTTTTTCGTTTATGGTTCATTGCTTGATAATTCTTACTGTCTATATTTAAAAGACTTAATTCATCTCTTCATTATCCTTTGTATAAGAAAAATCTTTTAATGTAAAGTAACAGCACCTTCCTCCAAAGGTCATTGTGAACATCAATTAATTACAACTTATAGTAACATGCTTGATACAGAGGAAAAGAGCATAAATGTCAACCAGTAACAATCCCTAAATGATAATTATTAGTACTAAATATCCAACAGATCACAGAGATTATAATCATATGCACCTGAGAAGATGTTCTTGGAGATACTAAAAGTCTGAAGAAAATCACCCACAATATAGAAAACAGGATCACAGAGCAGTCACAAGAAGTCCAAAGATGGCCAGACTCTTACCTTACTCCTCTCCTTCTTCCGCCAGCTCTGTTTCTTTGTGCACTACCACCCTTGTGACCGACATATCAGGGTGCTGCTCTCTGGCTTCCCTGATTGCCTGAGCCAGCGCCTACCAAGGTGAGAACAAACAAGCATGAGCTGAGCCCTGGATTCTACCTCAGGATGGCAGAGCACATACACCCTCACGTACTGAGAGGCAAGCTCCAGCCAAGTTGGTTCTCTGTCTTCATTTACAAAAGCAGGAAGATTTGACTTGGGCTCACTGTTCAAGTTAGAGAATGCCTGTCATTTCCTTAACTTCCCGTTCCTCCAGTCCCTCAAGTGATGATACATGTGGGAGAATCCCAGTTTTATACTCACTGTGAGATTTGGAGAAAATGGTTCTTCTCTGAGCCATATTATTCTTACCTGAAAACTCAGAGATGTAGCTAAGGCTACGAAGATCATTGTAGGTGTTGTTTGAATTTAGGTAATGATGTCAACTAACTAGCACAGTGCCTTATCTATACGTTCAAATGGCAGTAACTATCACCCAATAGCTGGAAACTCCAAGACATGAGACTAAGCCTTCTTATCTTTGCCATCAAAGGCTCTCAGCAATTGTCTGAATTAAAACACATTATACTAAAATATTACAGAAAAATACCTATACACTTCCAGGGCACAGAACTAAAAGAAGAGCAATAAGTACACATCATCAGTAAAGACAAAGAACAGAAAGACTAATGTCCTGCAGCTCTCTACTTTGCAGTTGAAGACCTTGAAGATCCAAAGGTTAATGAATCTTCATCAATCCAAGGAGCCAGCAAATAACAGCAAGTAGAGAAGGAGCAGTGGTGTGGCCTCCACTGGTTCAGGGTCTCTTCCTTGGACCACGTAGCAAGAAAGATGAGTGCTTCTGTTTTATCAGAAAGCAACTATGTAATATGGAAAGAACTTTTTTTATTTTAAAAATTATTTTCTTAAGTTTTGATAATTTTTATTTATAAAGATGTTTTGGAGGCAAAGTAATGAAAAACAAAACATCATAGAATAAAGTCTAGGAAAGAATCGTAAAAGATAAAGACAAATTCCTCTATGAACAGGACACTTCATCTCATAATGAAACTGTGTATTTGAAAAAGAAAAGGCAGTGCAGTGTTTCCTTTTGCTCTGTTATCCATCTGCAGGGACAAATGTATTTCCTATTTACATTAATGTTTCTGTCATCTGTAAAGTTTCTGTGCAAAGCCCTAAGTCTCATTTCAGTAAATAGGTAAAGCTAAAAGAAGGAATGCATGAGAGGCAGAAGAGTCACAGCCATCTTCCAATGCATGTTAAATCATGCTTAAATCATGTAAAAATTCCTTTCATTCCACATTAGCTTAAGAAATTAATATTAGTTTACTATGGGAATAATAAAGACATTAAATTAAACATACTGCTAAATTGAGGGGGGGGAAATGTCAAAACAGAGTATCAGTATGAAGCCAGGTTAGTTTTGAAATTCTTGGGCTCCTCCTACCTCAGTCTCCTGAGTGCTGGGCTAGAATAATAGACATGCAACACCATACCAGACCAAGAACATTTTTATTAGAAATATGTTCAGAAGAGCAACTGTAGTGTAATTTATCCCTTCTTGGCATGGAGCTGAGAGAGCCATGATCAGCACAGGATGAAGGTAAGACACTATTGCCAAAGACAGAACATACTTTGGACACAGGATTTGGAGTAATGGAGCTGGAACTGACCTGGAAGCCACTTCCCCTGAAGGCTAACGCTCATAGCTTTGCAGAACACTATGCAAGCTGCTAAGGGAGAACATCAATCAGTGGGCCAACCCTAGCTCCAAGACCTAATAATCACATCAATAACTGGAACAGCAAATGGCACTGGTATAGTAGTAGCACTTTTATCTTGGGGGTAATCAACAGCTACCTAATTGGACTTAAAGCCCACTCGACGGGAGGAAACTCATGTGAGGTACTGCAAACGGAGCCAAATACACATGGTTGGAGAGGTCACAGATTAGAGAAAACCCCAAGACTGTCACATTCCTAGACAAATGTAATTTCTTACCATGTACAAAATATGGATCCTTAAATTTACAGACAAGTAACCCAGTCACCAACCATCAAAGAAGCTTCTTTTTCAACAGAGATTATTATAGAGTTCTACAACTGGTGAATTTCCCAAGCCTAAGTGGCATGTCTCTGATGCAACCTCTATGCCTAAGGCTCACGGAACATAGAACAAGGGATAAAGACAACACTAATGCATCTTTCAATTCCGATCAATGAAGCTCCCTCATGCAACAGAGGGGCAGGAACACAAAAGGTCATATATGGCCAAAGTGTAGAGAGTAAGAGTCTGCAGAGTGTGGGTCCTTGGACAGAACACTTATATTAAACTCTACCCACCCAGGGCTCAGAGACTACTGATGAAGAGGGGTGGAAAGATTGTAAGAGCCAGGGAGGAGGTGCACAACCATATGGAAATAGTCCTACAGGTTCCTGGGATCTTGCTCATATGAACCTATAGCACTGGCGTCAGCATGCACAAGACCTATGCAAACCCAAGCAGACAAACCCCAGCACAGAACTGTGGAAATGGGCAATAAGCCCCAATCTTAGTAGAAGAATTATTAGCAGCTGATTATTGCTGGGTGAGGAAGAGCTGATCTTAAATGGAAGGACTCTGGATAGGCTGACTAGATCCCAGTGGATGAACTTACACTGAGGAACTTTTGGGGATACCAACTTGACATAATAGGCCTTAACACAAATTACAGAATGTATGAATTCTGGTGGGGGGGTATAAAAATTATTAAGATGTTCTGTATAAAATACACAAAATTTCAGTAAAAAATTTACCCAAAAATGGTTTTAGAAGATATATTCCAAGTTTACATTGGCTAATGATGTTTGAAATGAGCATGGGTCTTTTGCAAAGATACTTTACTTTTATTTATTTCAATTTTTCTATACAAACATGTATTATTTATATAACAGGAAAAATTAAATGTTTAAAAACTTTTTAAAAAAGATTCCTTTGAACATAGGAAAGGAACTGAAAAAGATGTGAATGGTTATTTAGGGCACTACATGATCAAAATCAGTTTTTGGTAGGGAAGCAATTTCTTCATTTAATCTCCAAAAGCTCCATTCATCCCAGCACAGCTTTAAGGAGAACGTGAACTCATCAAGAGTCTCTGGGGCAAGTATGAAGGAAGCCACAATGAATGGGGAAAGCTGATGCCATCTTACAATAAAGCATGAAAACGTCTCTAGTCTTTTCTTATGGCTATCTGACCTCCGCTTGAAAAGGGCTGAAGCATAAAGCACACATCAGAGATACTTGTTTTGGAAAGATACTTTGCTTATATTTAATTCAATTTTTCTATACAAAATGGCTACCAAGTCATCACTTTTTAAGAGTTAGAAATATGCTGCTTTGGTATTCAGGTTTCATGTTTGTCTTATTTCTATTAGCCTCTCACAAGTTATGCTACCTAAACTTGAGTTTTCAGGGGAAGCAGGTTAAAAGGTAAAACACAGAAAGTGAGGGCTGAGAGTCACTCTGCTGAAAAGGAGTCATTAAAAGCATGGAAGGCTTAGATGCTTGGTGAGGAGAGGGTAAAGGAAACAAAGGCTGGGAAGATGCCTCAACTTTCACTTCTTTTATGCCAACACGTATGTGCTCCTGCCTAGAATATTATAGGAATTTAATAAATGTTTCTTGAACAAGAAACCCAGAAAGAAAAAAAAAAAAAGAAGCAGGTTTGCAACATCTTCATGTCAGGAGAGCTCATGAGCGCCCCAGTGAGCAGCAGTAGAAAGAATCTTCTCTATAGAAATCTGGAGGTTTATTTCCATGTGAGTAATTTTTTCCATGCTAAGTATCTCCTAAAAAACCCCACTCCTAAGTTTAAATTTGGGGTGAAGGCTAACCCTCAGGAAGATTTTTTAAATATATTATGAAATATGTAAATAAAAATACCATCCTTACAAAGGCCATAAAAGTGCATTCTTCTCTGACCATATACTGAGCCTTTCTCAAGCAAGCAATTCTTATCTCACTGTATTTCCTGGGCTCAGTACTGTGTTCAAAGCTGTGTATCTACCACTTGCTTTGATTCTCCAGTAGAAGTAGTCCACAAACATTTCTTTTCCTTTTTTCCTTTCTTCCAGTTGTTGTAAAGGAAAATCCCTTGGTCTCCTTTATAAAATCATTCAGAGAGAGAGGAGGGTTTCTCACTTGGGACTGTAGTCTAGTATCAGAGCTAGACTCTTGAGTTTCCAGCAGTTCCACTCACTACCAGCCTATAGCTAAGCATTCTGTTTAACTTAAATGTAGAAAAGAAGCATGGTTCTGATTTAAAAAAAAAAAAATCAGAACCAATCAAAGTTTTCATTTTGAAGGAGACCAGATATTATTTGTTTCTCTAACCTACAATATAGCAATAGGAAAAATAAAGTCAATGTCTCAACTTTTCTTATACTGTAAGATGTCACTTGAAAATTCCTACAGGTAGGCATAAGAAAACTTAGTCGCTTTTTTTGTTTTATTGCAAGGCATTGTCTTTAAGTACCATTTGCTTTAAAATATTAAAAAAACATTAAATATTAATGAATTGTCTTTAAATCAGGCCGATGTGAATTCCTAATGGCCACCAAAAATTCTGCATGTTACTCCAATGGAGATAAATTAACAGTCTACACTTTATGCTGAGGGGGAGTTGGGAGAGCTGAAAACACAGGCTGCATCCACCCTATGAAGCATCTTTACACCATACCTAGGAGCTGGACTTCACTCAGGAGGTACTCAGAGAAGATGATTATGCAGAGATATGCCATGAGGTGGTCTTTACCTGGTCATGATCAATATCTGCATCTCCTGTGATCACGATGCGTTTCTCAATTCTCGTTTCAGATATTCCACCTTTCACGGTCTAAAGGTCAAAAAAGAGAAGAAGAAACAGCAGTCACTAAAGTATGCATACACAGAAAAAACAAAGATGAAGCCCACTTTGACCTTCTGATTGTCTTCAGGCCAGGTACAGAATAATGGAAGTCTAATAGATATTTTCCTTGCCATACTTTTAAATTCATCAAAGAATCGTAGTTAGGATAGCATCCATGGGTATCCCTCAATTGAAAGCAAGCTTTAAATTATCAAGATTCAGGTGAGATTAGGATGGAATAGATGTCACTTAAAAACCTAAGCAGTTCCATTGGTGTATTCTATTACAATTTCCTGAGTTAAACCTTCCATGTCAGTTGCCAAAGTTTTGAAAAGAAGAGAAAAACAAAAACAACTGTTTGCATTTGCAGAGTTACAAGCAATTCTAACATTTTAGGTATGTTTTAGATTTGGGAAATTGTTTGATATCATAGTTTTGACTCCTTGATTCCAATCATACAAATTCATTTGGTGAGTTCATTCGATTTGGAACAATAAAAAAAAAGAAAACAATGACTTGGATTTGGGTTTAAGATAAAGAAAATGAATGGAATCATTGCTTCCATATGTGGTTGTGCATGTCGACATGGAACACACGACATACAGGTTGTGTAGAGACAAAGGAGGCCCTGAACAAACTGCTTCACAGAGTTACTGGCCAAGTGCGTGCCCAAAATGCCTGGGACATGCTCAAGAAGGAGGAGGCTTGAGAGATCCTTTACCTGTGACCTTTGAACAGAACACAGTCCTGAGAAGACACAGAGGCAACTTCTACAACCCTCACTCTTTGCACACTAAGTCACAGTGACATTGTATTATGAGAAATAAAGCTTATCACTGGCTTTAGCACCAATGCACCCTGCATTGTAATTCACAAAGTTTCTTGTTTGTTTAAATTATTAAATTATTTTTCATGAAACATATGGTAGAAAAGAGTACAACAGATACATTTAAGATCATTATGCACTAATCCAATGTGAAAGAAAAAACAAAACAAAATGCTGAAAAATAAGACTTGGATTAGAAATTTGTTGGCTTTAGCGTATATCAAAATTAGCTGGAAGCTTCCTAAAACTTTCCATGGTTTCAATAGGTCTGGAGTGAGCCATGGTATTTACACATCCAAATCCCCAGCTGGGGCTGATGCTGCCAAGCCAGGGATTACACTGGTTATGTAGTATCAGATATTTAGAGAATGATCTGGGAAAGTGCTCCACATCAACATACTAGTATCTTAAATAAATGAGAGAAGTTTCACAATTTGATTAAATGATCTCTGCCCATGTAGCTGTCTTAAGTATAGCTATTCGCATTTTTACCCCCTTGTACTTTACAAATTGAAGTTTGTTTGAAATATATTTGTCATGGAGCCTACTCTCTTGGATACTTTAAAGAGAGATTTCACTCTACTGGCACTGTGTATTACTTGGGAGTATGTATAGAAACAAAGAAACAATAAAGAAAAGATCTGTTTGCCATGTGTATCCTCTCCCCTGGATTGCTTTACCTTGGTGATGTGTGTGGTTGTCGTTGTTGACACGGACTCAGATGTGATGGTCTGTGCTGTCAGTAACGTGCCCGAATCACCACCAGCCCCGCCATCAATCTTTGGATATTTGGAGGAAAAATACAAAGTAACACTTAACTTCCATCATGTCAGAGAAGACCCCACCCAATGAATAAGCATCTTCTAAAATTTCCACAGTTGGTAGAAGATCCTGTCTATCCTTTGTATGTTGGTAGTGGTAATTTATGGGCCAGGAATGTGGCTAGCATTGAAAAAGGAGGAGAGGTACAAGACAATGAATGCAGAGAAGCAAACCCTGTGGGTAGAAAGAAGAGGAAGAATGAAGCAGCAGGTGGTACTGAAAGCCATGCAGGAATCAAGAGCATCTATCTGAGGATATGTGTGGAAGTGAGAAAGAGAGCAGAGAGCCAAGTAAAGAAGCATCCAGTGACCCAAAGTACTGACTTTGCTGTTTCTTAAGCACAGGTGGGTAAAAATAGATAAAAGGTTTTCTCAGATTACTAAGGAATAGAACCTGCTGAGGATAAACTGAACTTGAATGGCCTAGTCATTTGCTTATCTTTAATATTTTTTTAAAAACATTGTTCTTATAATGGTTAGTATGTCATAAACATATGAGTGCACATATTAATACTGTATATGTGGATACACCCCATTTATATTAAAACAGGCTTTAATTTGTTTGCTTTGACACTGGAAGAGGCAGAAGATTCTATAGTTTACCAGAAAAAAAAAATACCTTAATTATTTAAGATCAAACATGTTTGCCTGTTTCCTGACAGTAACCAAGGGAAATGTCTCCTAAGCTTGGCTCATGCACCTACATTTGTAAGGGCACTTACCAAAATGTAGACAGGAGAGAATGTTCACATACACATGCCCATGATGTGAAACCTATTTGCTCTTAAATGGGATCTATGCACACATGTGGATAATATGCTTGAAATAATTTTGAGAAATGTTGTACACATTAAAACTTAAAAAAAATATTTTGAAGGTGATACCTTCATCATAGTATAACCCTACCAGAGGTTTAACAATTTATCACGTACATTTTAAAAAGGATCCATTTAAATGATGAACACCCTCCTTTTGTTACATTTTATTTATGTGTGTTTGTGTAAGTTTCTATCTATCTATCTATCTATCCATCTATCTATCTATCTATCTATCTATCATCTATCTATCTATCTATCTCTCTATCATCTATCTATCTATCTATCTCTCTATCATCTATCTATCTATCTATCTATCTATCTATCTATCTATCTATCTATCTATCTATCTATGCAGGAGGGAGGGAGGGAAGGAGGGAGGGAGAATAATAGAGCCCAGAGGGTGATGGGTGTCTTCATCAATCACGCTTCACCTTGTTTTTTGAGACAGCATCTCTCAATGAAACTTGGAAATCACCAATTCAATTCATCTAGACAAACTGGCCAGCAAGCCCCAAGGATTCTCCTGTCTCTACCTCCCCAGCAAAGAGGTTACAGGCATGTACTCTGGGCTATTATAAAGTATGTTCTGGGGATCTGAACTTGGGTCCTCAAGTTTATATGTCAAGTACTTTATCAATTGAGCCATCTCCTCAGCCCTATTATTCCTAATGTTAAACATTTTAATGCTTATCTAAAATCTTTATAGAACCAAAGTCTGTCAGACCTAAAATCAAGTACATAATTCTAGTAATTACTTACTTAGACACAGATTATATACAAATAACTACATATGCCTAAGGAAAATGATCCAATGTAGAGGAGAGAGAGCATGTGACGGCCTGTATTGCAATAAAGTATGAGTTTATTTAGTTTGCTTTCATGGAGTTAAGACTGGGGGGCTCAGGGGGAGCTTATAATATTAAAAATCTACAAAACATACATGATCCTATAAATTTTGTAAGGCCATCTGTTTCCTAAGAGTATACATATATTTTTAGATATAGCAAGCCTTAAAGGCCTTACAATAAAAGGATAAGGTTTGTGCTATTTATTGTTAACTAATCATATGTATGGGTCACCAATCTGTACTTATTCCTCCTTTCTAATTGAGGTATTTATTTCCCTGGGTACTGGGGATTGAAGGCAGAGCCTCACACACACTAGAGAAGTGCTCTATTCCACTGAGCTACATCTCTAGCTCTTCGAAGGCTACCATTTGATTGCAGTTCTCCGCCTAAATCTAAGCGGGTAATATAGCACATTATATTGTGGAAAATGGAAATGTGGAAAGCTTATGTCAAAGTCAGAAACATAAACTAGAGGCAAACACTGTAAACAGAAGTAGTCATACTAAACAAACAAATGATTCAAATAGTCCAAATCTTGAGCTTGTACCTGTGGAGACTCATATGTGATGGTTTTGGTCTCAGTTTGAACAATGGGGACTTCCTTGGTGGAGATTTCTGTCCTTTGTGAGGCATCAGAAATTGTTACCATCTCTGTTTTTACCACTGGTGGCTGGGGTGGAAAAGGAAGGGAAAAATAAATTCTAGTGGCGATGAAGTAAAAGTGTTTAAAGGAACCTTCAAAAATAATTGTTAAAAAAAAATTCAGTCACACACTCATGCACAAAAGAAAAGAGAGAAAAGTAAATATCCTAAAATAAAAGATATAAAAGAAAAACTTTCCTTCAAGTATATCTTACACATACACAAAATGTATATCTATGTGTGTATGTATGAAAAATCAGCTAACATAATGGCTTCCTAAATTATGTAACCTTTCAAATGGTGATGGTCCTAAGCTACACTTATACACATATACTTGACTTTGGAAAAGTGATGTTAGAATTACAAAAGAAAATAGAATGAACTATACAAAGTGACCTATCTCTATTTTTGCCACAGTTTAATGAACCACATATGTGAAGGCTTGTTATTTTTAATAGGCTTGTAAGCTATGTAGGCCAAGATTTACTCTTCTCTGCCAAAAGATGCCATCTTCAGAAAGGATATTTTCAAGTTATGACTGATTGGATCATATTCATCTGAACATTACAGTGTTTCTTTTGCATTACATACAATAAAATGTTCTATCTAAAATTAGGCCATCACTGTTGCATTAGTGCTCTGAAAACTTTAAAATGTGAAAAGGAAGTTTCGATATCTGTTAGCATTGTAGTCTACTGTGCACATATATTTAGTACATCAGACTAAAGGCCACCAAAATACCATAATACTTCCTTTCAGAGAAAATTCCCCACAGGTATAATTATTTCAAGGAAAACAGTCATATATTAAATGTAGAAAACAACAGTTCAAAGACTCTTGAAATGTCTTCTCTGAAGTGAAACATAAAATTTAAAAGTAAAAGTAAAAATCTATTTATTCCAAAATAAAGCCACTTCAAGATTTTCTACCCCATCAGAGAGAGCAAATGTGAGCAAATCCCTGTGCTATGGGCATTCTAGAATTAAGAGACATTCCTGCAGAGGATCAAGAAACATTCTTGTGGAAGTAATCTAACCCCTACAAGAGAAGGACTGCCCTTAATGACCGAGATTTGTTACGAGGACTACACAAGGTTCTCTTTCCTGAAGATAAAAGGAAAAGACGTATCTAATATAAACAGTCCACAAAATATATAATCAATTTGCAAACAATCCAGGATTGACACAAGGACATAAGGGTAGGCTCCTACTGAACATTTATTCCCTGGCTGCCTACAAGGAAGGAAAAGGCTCTTAACCAAACAACACTCTCCCTGGACTCTAAAAACAGAAATCACAGTGGCATTAAAGAAATAATTTTCTCATCACTGCCAGATGCTACTTTCAGAGCACCATGGTACTCAGAGCCTGCTGTCAGTTCTAAAACTTTTTAACTGAAAGTGGGGGAATAAACTAAAAAGTCAAATCCAATCATTAAAACAAGAGAGAACATACATTCATAATGACCATCTCTCAACAGTACATACATAATTTACTAATTAAATCAAGAAAAAAAAGGCATTTAGTTGAAGAAGTAGTGCAAAGAAAGACAGAAGCATCCAAAGCATGCAGAGAAAAATTTAAACGGGAAATGAGAAGAAAACAATGATGGGGTTGTAGGATTTTATCCTACAGGAAATGCAGTCACAATAAAAAACTATGAGCTGAGCTGGCAGAAGACCTGCAAAGCACTGCTTTCTCTCTTCTTCCCAGGAAACAGAAAAACGAGGTTCTTGCTGGAAAAAGATGAAGGAGAACTGGGGAGAAAGGTAGAAGAAAAGTAGGTGTTTCCCACCTGAGAAACAGTTCTATAGTTTAGCTCATGCTTAGACTCCATTTACCTCTGAACAACAAATAATTTCTGGCAAAACATCAATGTCAACATGGGACACCTCTCCGTTAACTTTATGTTGTTCTTCCTCTGTTTCTTCTTTCATGTCTTGCTTAACAGTGCCTTCATGTGCACTCTTCTCTTCAGGTATCTTTGGGGCAACTACATTTTCCTGGGCCTCTGTCTCTACTGTGATTACACTGGCCCCTGCTTGTCTGTCTGAGCTGGCTTCAGGCACTGCTGCCTCCCTCTCTACTACCTTGGCTGCTTGGCCGGGCTCTTCCTCCGTCTCTTCATCATACTCCTCCTGCTCTTCCCTTATGGTGCCCTCAGTCACACGGTGCTGGGGTTGGTACTCTCCCACATCTTCCTCCTCACTCTCACTGCTGCTGCTGTTCTCAGAAGACAGGGAGGTGGAGTCTTTTTGTGTCACAGGCTCCACCTTACGAATCTCCCCAGGACCACTCCCAGGTGACAGCTCTTTACCATTCACTTCTTCTGTGATTACTCTTTCGTCTTTCCCAACCTCTGCCTGCTTCTTCTCCACTACATTCAGAGTCTCATGTGAACTCTGTACAAAAAAAAAGATGGATGAGGGAAAACAAAAATATATGAATAAATAAAAACAATGGAAACTCAAATTAACTGATGGCAGATTCATGTCATGAAGAAAAACAAAGATGATTATGATGATTGACTGAAAGGGAAGCAGGAAAACATGAGGTGGATGAGACGTTAGGTAATGACGTTAACACCGAAAAGGGGAGAACCTTAACAGCATCCCTGGCTCCAGTGCAAGGCCCTTCCGACGCAGGAGCACGTGTCTGTGAAACAAAAAGCAACCGAGGACACAGAATCAATACGGTTTTACCTCAACAACCACCAACAGACATCTGACACTGCAAAGACAGAGGAGCAAGAATCAACTCTACTGAAACCTTTGCTCAAGGTCACACAGAGGACAATTAGACAAATGCCACAAAGCTTATAAAAGAAAAAAGCAAGCAAACAAACAAAAAAACCCACAGTCAATGTCTGCCCAAAGAAATAAAATACTTTTATTATAGGTACAATAAATTCCACTTATGGTATAAAAAAATGTCAAAGAAAAATATGTAATTATGCCTAAGCTTACTAATCATCATAAAGAATAAATTTTAAAACTTAAAATCTATTCCTCAAACACTTTTGGTTTTAATCTGATTCTAGAGCCTAGCCTGGGACCCAGATTCTAAAATAAATGGAACATAAAGGACTCTTTTATGTGCTTCTTTTCTTGTGCTTTTAAAATTGTAGTTGATTTCAAATTGCTATTGCAATAAAAATGTTCACTTCAGAGATGGTTATTATCATCTCAATTTGTCATGCAGATCAGCTAAAAGGATATTACATATTAGGGTGAATGCCAATAATATCTGAAAAATGTCTTCCTTAGAATTTAGCTCATTACCATTACTTAGAAGCTTGAAATGGATCAAACATTATTTGAGATGCTCACTGATTTATTCTATTTGAGTAACATAGTGCTAAATGTTCAATAAAAAACCTAAATACAGAATATATTAGTAACATAAATTACTATGGTATAGTATTGTTGGCTAGAATATAAACTTTTCTTTGAGGAGATTTTAAAGCTTCACATTTCCTTACACTTGTACAAATGAAGCACAGCAACATTTTTATATTCTAGTGGCACTGCTACTCATGATCTAATTTAAAAATACTTCAGCTAGAGGAAGCAGCACTATTTATTCAAGGTATCATACATGCTGGATATAGAACTCAATGATCCTCTGACTCTGCTAAACACAACTGTTGTGCTACTAAGACATTAACTACATTCAATGGTTTTTCTAAGAGATAGCAGGACGTCATTGGTCCTAGCAACAAGGACATCCAGAGCTAAATGATGTAAATCTCTGCAGCACCTATCAGCATATGCTCAGACTCTCTATGAAGTACATGGCAATAGTACGTTTGAGTTGCTCAAAATTCCTATCGTCTAAACATGTGACAAACAGAATAAGAGAATCATCTTTCTGGTCTAATTGAGAGCCCAGAGCTTTCAGATACTAAACTGAAAACCTCAAGTCTGTTTTGACAAGCAAGTAACAGTTAGTTACAAACTCCTCTGCAAATAAAAATACCTAGTGATCAGAGTATTTCTGAGCCAGATGTTTCATACAAATGATAGGCTAATGATTTAGAGCTATTATTACTTAACCTCAAATGGCTAGATAAGTTCTGCCCAAGTTCAGGGAATTCCTGCAGTCATTCAAAAACAATTACACATTGACACTGGCAGGCATTTCAAGTTTTCCCTTATAAGCATTATTTCAAAAACAATAAACCACTAGTAGATACCTGAAATCTGGGTTTTGAAAACTTGAGCTCTATTAAGCACATTTAGCTAGATTAAGCTTGATGGAGGCTTCCCTAACAACCCCAACTCTGGGCCTCAGTGGTTTAAATAAATCTCTGAATTTAGGCAGATTTTTGTTGGTTGATGGAAGGAAGGAAGGAAGGAAGGAAGGAAGGAAGGAAGGAAGGAAGGAAGGAAGGAAGGAAGGAAGGAAGGAAGGGAAGGAGAAGAAATGAGAAACACCCAATCTATTTCTTTTGTTTGTGTTCAAATTCACTGTTTCTTGAATGTTTCTCCCAGTGATGATTTAACCAATGAAAGCAGTAGAGGGAAGGGTGTCTAAATACTCAAAAAAAAAAAAAAAAAAGAGAAGATCACTCTTATATGGCTTTTAGTAGAAAGGGAAACAAAGTAAAATGCACCTCAGACAAGTGTGAGAAGGGCGAGGAGGAAAGCTTTTCTCTAGGTGCATTAGAGTTCACAACAGCGCCCTCTGCCGTCCAAGTGGCTGAAGGGAAGGTGGTGTTCATGCTATGAGAAAAGCCCTTTCCACTAAACAAAATAGATGTTATTTCTTCTTCTAGGCTCTAGAGAAGTAAGAAAAGGAAGAGCAAAGAATTAACAATACATCAAGACACACAGCAGTGACCTATGAAAAGGAAGCAAAGGTTACACTAGGAAGAATAACAGAACAGCATAAAATGAAAAGAAAAAGGACTTTGAAGACTGAAGCAGGCTTACGTGGTTTGCCTGAATGCCAGCTTTTGCATCTTACTTGAAAATCTCGGGTAACATTAACCTATGGAAGCCAGCTAAAACTTAAAATTTTATCAGAAACAGCACATCCATTAAGCCCTCACACACTGTTACTTTTGAGGTAGTTCCTTGGCTTCTTTCTGCAAACAATGGCCTCTTCAGCAACCCTGCACCTGAAATGCTTCTTTCCTGTGCTGGAGCTAGGGTGACTGCCCCTCCTGCCCTCAGTGCCTTCCCTATGCACTCTGGCCTTTCTGACTTTGCCATTTTTCTTAGGTTCACTAAACAGACCTTACCAACTTATTTTGTATAAGGCTTCTACAACCATCCCAGCTCCTATGATCTCTTTTCTACATGATTGTACCTTCTTGACAGCAACCCACAGTAACTCACTCAGAAAGGAGGGGGGGGCATGCAAGAAGAAACAGTGAAAAAGAATTATATAAGACAAACTCAGAGCCAAAGACTCAGTGAGAAATATACAAATCAGCTGTCTGAAAAACTATTAAGGCAAATTTGAGTTTCATGTTTCTACCCCTTAAATAATGCTTCCTAACCTGCCTGGGAGAGTAAGAATAGCTAGAACTAGAAACAGGAAAATGGACTGCCACTAAAGAGGCACTGTGAAGCTGCCCCCTCATGGCACTTTGTGAGAATAATTCTTAACAAATCACATTCTCCAGAGATCCTTTAAAAAAAGACATGCATAGCATTTATAAAATGTTCCTTCAGACAATGAGGTAAGGTGTGAGCAGGGGGTATGCCCTCGAAATGTTCACAGTGAAAAAGTTTCTGGACTTTACCAATGAAACCCAAATATGCAAAATATGAAAATCAAGCTCTTATGTGGCCCAGTTGTACTCCCTCCCACCAGCAAATCATTGGGGAGTTTAAATACTAAGCACTGAATTACTCAATAAATTCTTTAAATTTTTATTATTTTTATTTTATATATGTGAGTGTATTGCTTCCATTTGTGTTGCACAATGCCCATGGAGGTCAGAAGAGGGTGTCAGATCCCCTGGAACTGGAGTTACAGACAGTTGTCAGACACAATGTGGGTGTTGAGCATTGAACCTAGGTCCTCTGCAAGAGCAGCTAGTGCTCCTAACCACTGAGCCATCTCTCCAGTCCCTCAATAAAATATCTTCAAAAGTATCTTAAAGATTGAGGATGAGCTAAGCGTGGTGGTACATGCCTTTAAATCCACACTCAGGAGGCAGAGGCACGCAGAGCTCTGTGAGTTTAAGGACAGTCTGGTCCACATAGCAAGTTCCAGACACAGAGACCCTCTCTAAAAAAGAACAAAAAAAAGGACTGAGGATGTCACTCAGTGATATAGCTTACCTTACATGCTCAGTATCCTGGGTTCAACCCTCAGTACCACACCCCTAAAGTATTATAAAACTACAATGTAGGCAATTTCTAATAGACTCCTGAGAGGTTACTTTACACAAGATTTCATAATTCTCTAATACATAAGAGAATGCACAATAGTTATTTATTCATAGAAGTCCTTGGCCTTCTAACGTTCTGCTCTATTCTCAAAATTGTTCATGTTCAAACTAAAGCCATTCTGAAAATTCAATGTATCTATTTTTTAAACAAGACACTATCACTGTATTTAAAAAAAAAACCCATAAAGCCCATTCTGTGGAAATTTGAAAAATTTAGGCAAATACCTATACATAGCTTTTCCACTTTTCAATAAGAATTATGGTTCAAAGATAAATAAGAAACCCTGAAAAATCTGAAGCAAAAGGAAGACACAGTAAAGACAGAAAGTGAAATAGTATTCTGCTAAAGTCAAAACATAAGTAGACTCTGTGTGCTTTCAATTAATAGTGGTATACTACTTGAAGAAAAAATATCATGTAAATAATAAATGTTTCTTGGGTGAAAAGATGAATGGATAAATGTAGTTAGAACTGAGATTGTTTATGTGTATGTATATGTGTGTGCAAAATCAAATAAGTATATGGTTTTCCACATGTGCTGAGAAAAAGAACAGGATGATTTAAATGTCCCATGATAATACTCTTCTATACAAGGTATTTTATATTGCATATTCTTAAAAGATGAGATTCAGAAAAGTGGTAATTTTTAACAGCTTCACCAAAATTCTAATTTACTTCTGCAAAAAAACACAAGTACATCACTTTAAATTTGATCAAATGATGACATGTGACTTAGTTTTAGAAGACAATTTTTAAAAAATACATTTCAAAAGGTAGGCATGGTGTCGCGCATCTTTAATCTCAGTGCTCAAGAGACAGAGGCAAGCAATTTCTGTGAGACTGAGGGCAGCCTGGTCTACACAGCAAGTTCCAGGCCAGCTGGGGCTACAGGCAGACCCTACCTCACACACAAAAAATTTTTAAATAAACAAAACAAAACAAAAAATTTCAAAGCATGTGACAGTGTACCTGGTACCTAGCTTCCAGTTTCAAGCTAGCCTTTAAAGTATATAAACATGGCACTTGCTTTAGCTTCATGGCATTTCTCATTTGCAGTGCTCTGGAAATATTTTATCTCAACTAGGCCTCAAAGTCCTTAAAAGACAATCATTCTATTTTGTCTCTTCCTCACTCCACTGTGCATTCTGATGAGTATTTTTACAAAACCTAGTTTGTGGAAGGGAAATACTTTTTCCTTATTGCTATTCTCTGCTCAATCACACCTTCTGATTAGCCACTCCTTATCCAGTAGCAGAGGGATTTCTGTCTGACACATACAGAATTAGTCATCACTCACCTTAAAAATCTTCAGTGGCTTCCTATCACTTTCTATAGTTCTAAACTATAGCATTAAGACCTTGACATGAGCTGGGACTCTCCTGGACTTTGCTTCCCTGAAGCTCTAGGTTGTTTACTAAGCTCTTGTCATTTAGTCATTTTGGCTCCTTAAGCTTAGCTCCTACCTTGGTCAGTCACTTTTGCTTTCTTTAATATGAGAACATCTTCAGGTCTGCTTCCTTATCATTAAAACTTCACCTTAAAACCAAAGTCAACTCCTTCTTGCCCTTCTAGATTGCCTTCTAACACAATACTATATTTAACTTTTTAAACACTTCTTAGTATGTGAAATTCTCCAATCACTAACGTACAGTACACCTGCTGTCTACGTTCTCCACTAGACTCTCCAGGCTGGCTAAGAAAACTCAGCAGAAGAATGGGAATTGAAAAGAAATTGAAAGATCGCTTCCTCACTCAAGTCAGGCATTTCCTATGTACAAAGAGTAGGGTGGGGGAGGCTGCTGCTATGGTGCATCAAAATCTCCTTTTTTCCATTGAAATCTGAAAAATGAAAACTCAAAGCTTTCCATATGTGATTAATGGGCTAGGAACAAAAGCACACATCATTTGTTATTTTCATAGCATCACAGCGTGTGTAAGTGCTATACAGTGCATTTTCACATGAAATTAGTTTCCCAACTGCCAGCCACATGCATCAAATGATGGTCACTCATCACCTAATGTGGTTGATTATTTCTGCATTCTCAATTTTCAAGTAAGGTGTTTATCACAATATGGTGTTTCTCTCCAATGTTCCTGATGCTCCTATAGTTGGGGGTCTCACTTTTGAAATACTCAAATTATTTTTTTTAAGTTTTAGGCTGATATATAAGATAAAAAGATTAGCTCTGGCTGGGAGTAGAAATGCACAGAAAGGAGAAAAAGCAAGAGTAGAGCCAAGGATGCAAGGTGAACACCTTGTCCGCCTCCTGAGCTTTCTCTTCAACTGTCCGTGTTGCTGTCATCAGGTACTTCTCCTTCATGGATAAAATATCCTTGAAAAGATGTTCTCCTTTTTTCTATTGTTTTAAACAATGACATAATCAACAAATAAGACATATACATTACACCTATAGCAACACAAACACAAAACAACTGTGAGCCATGGAACAAACCAGATCATGCAACACATAAAGGAAGGCCAAAACCTTTATATTATCAGACACCATTTCTCCAGAAACTCTAGAGTGGGATGCTAAAACTGACTTTCTTTTCAAAAAATCTGAAAAAGAGTATGTGGTTTCCACCCTCTTAAGACCACACAATGTGGGGCTGGAGAGACAGCTTAAGACAGGTTAAGAGCACTGACTGCTCTTGCAGAGAACCGGAGTTCAATTCCCAGCATCCACAAGGAGGCTACGAACTGTCCTTAACTCCACTTCCAGGGGAATCCAAAGCCCTCTTCCAGCCTCCACCTCTGTGGCATTGCACGACACAGGTGCACTCACATACATGCAGGCAATACATTCATATGCATAAAATAAAAATAATAAAATATTTTTTAAAAAAGTCCACACAATGCTTGCTTTCTCAGTTCAGCAATTATTTTTGTTCATCAGTTCCTAAAGCATTGCTTTCCCTTCAACGTATCAAACTTAGAAATTAAATGCTACTAGTAGCTTTGCTCTTCAACAAAGAGTGAATAAAGACAACATTAAAGAATCTAAATTAAATGCCTACAGTTGGGCAACACTCAAGCCACACTAGGTAATGAAAGGAAAAGGATGGAATTGTAGCAGAGCATCAACATCTATGTACAGCTTTAAAAGCTGCAGACTAAATGCATTATCATTGTCTCCTCAAGGGTGATGTGCACATGAAACTCCTGGTAGCCAGCCACAGGAAAGATCTGGGAGGGCACAAAGGGAGATGCAGATAGAAACAAAAGCAGAGATATTCTGAGGGTACATTCTAGAGGCAATGCTTGGTGGTGAGAAGTAGACCATAAAAAGAAACACAGTGGGACATTATGGTTGCAAATGGTTTTGAAACATGACTCTGTTATCACTATGTTTCAATTTTAATACTGACATATAATATTTTGCAATATGTAATGCTTTGTTAAGTTTTCAACAGGGCTCAGGTGTTCTTACAAGGTAAATCTTAACTTATTATTTTCATAGCACTGACTTCTAAATATAATCATTCTAAATATGACCTACATTTCTTTATTAAGTAAACTTCCTTATTTGAGACATCAATAACTAAGAAGCCTATTAGAAACAGTATCGTTAGTTCTTAAGTCATCCTAAGTACTACTTACTTAAAATTACTCTGAAAATACTCCAAAATTACCTTGAAACTCATTCAATTTACATAGTAGGCCAACAAATACTACATTGTTAATACTTAGTTTTTTAAAAAATTGTTAGCATTACAAAGAAATCAAGTGGGAGCATTTTATAATGGGAAATCAACAAACAAGATGGACAGCCTTAGTTTTACCAAACAACTGGAGTGAGACATAAAGCCAACAAATAGCTAGTGACATACCCCTTGCATCTGCAGGGACAGAGGTGTGATACGTCGTTTTTCCCATTCATTAGGGCGCGGCTCAGGTGTGGATTCCATAAAATTGCGCTTGAGTTCACTAATGCTAGCCTGATGTTTCAGTATGTCTTCCTGGGCCTTATCCAGGTCCTAGCAATATGTAACGTAATAAAAGGGAAAATCCAAAAGGAAAAAACCCAGTAGGACAAAAATTAAAAAAATAAAAAAACCAAAAAAATAAGACATAGTAAACTTATGATTTAAAAATATAATAAAGCAAGAAAAATGCCAAGTCTCAAAAGCCATATTATCACCTATGAATAACTGAGTTCATCAGAATTTGAAAATGAAGCCAATGTACGTTTTTACTCACTTAGGACTTTAATTTCTTCTCAGTTTGGGATTTTAAAAGAATAATTATTCACATTAGAAGGAAGCCATGGAACTAACTACAAGAATGACTAACAATCTTTTTTTTTTTTTTTTGCATACTTAGATTTTAACAGCAGCCGATTACTTTGTTTCCGCAAATTTATCTTTGTGATCAAGGTTAACTAAAAAAATTACATTCTGTGAGCACAGCAAAACAAAGGTAAGACTCATAAGCATGCTTGGCCCGAAGGGAGAAAGCCAGTCCAGAACAAAAAGTGGAAAAACCAAGGGTTGACTTTGTCAGGAAATTTCTACAGTGGCTTTTAATTCTTAAGGAATAAAAATAGCTGATTCCAGGGGCTACTTCTCTCTATAAAATAATGAACATCAAACTGGTCTCCTATAATATTAAGAACAAAAGTGAAACAGCCCCTCATTTATCAAGTGGCCCTTCTACCAAAATTCAAGAAAAATTACTAGTTCCATTTTTCATTTGAGTAGGCCCTGATGAATAGTATTCAGTGGATTTAAAATAAAACTGGCTCTGATAAATAGTACACATGTAGTCAGTGTTCAGGAATTGCATTTAAGTGAGTATTAAGTGTTTTCTTACATTTCAAAAATGACAGGCTGCCTGTAGATTATAGTCCCACTCCCAGAGGAACAGGTCATGCACCTGATAAAATGAGACAATCCACATTCATGCACAAGCATAATAGCTCATTGGTGAGCTTCTATAGTCATTTGTAAAAACTTAGAAACCTGAAAACCTTTTCATGGCATGGGAACCTGACAGTGGCTTGAGATCAGGCACATTTCTTGCATTTGTTCAAAGCAATGTTACTTATACTTTACAGCATTTTAGTAAGTTAAGCAAAATACATTTTCAAGTTATCAAAGCTGCCAAAAGCAACAAAACAGATTAGTCAGATTACTGAGAGCTGCAGTTCTCCCCTGAACACACTGCCACACACTACCTTAGTGTGAGAAGAAGAAAAAAACTGTTCTTATGTGACACAGGAACATACTTCAAAACTCCCAATTTCTCATAACCCCCTCATCCCTCTGCCTCCCTCCCTCCTCTCTCCATTCTTTCTTTCTAGTCAGAACAATTCTATTAGTATAATTCTCAAGTAGAACACTTTAAGTAGGCCACATTCCTAATCCCATGAATTTTAGTGGGAGAAAAAAAATAAGCAGGTATAGACCAAGAGTCAAGTGAATAATTCAATGTCAGATCAAGAAATACCTATTCTGTTTAATATATATGGGGATCATAAGGCTAGGACTGGTGGCACACACCTTTAATCCCAATACTTGGGAGGTAGAGGTGGGGGATCTCTTAGAGATCGAGGCCAGCTTGGTCTACATAAGTTTCAAGTCAGCTGGGGCTACAGGGAGACCCTGTCTCAAGAAATCATGGCAGGGAGGGGTGTGGTGAATGAATGAACATGTTACTTTGGATTCTCTATCTCAGCAGTGGTAACCTACTAGGGAAATGGGCTTACTCAAAACTACTGTAAGGCTAATGAATAAACTTTATTTGACTAAAAAGAACTTTTCCCCCATGCATCACTTTGAGAACTTGCAGTAGATGTATTCCTACCTAAGCCACCTTGAAAGAACCAAGCTGGACTGGCAGCATGCACTCCCAAGTTGAATGTCCCCATGCACTGCATGCACTGTGCTTGAGAATGGCCAGCCAGCCTGTGCGTGACCTCCCATCCACAGCAGCCTGGCAGCCAGAGGACACAGTGGTTTCTTAGATCATACAAACCTCCAACATTAAATTGCTATGTCTGACATAAATATTATCCCCTTCTACTCTCAAGGTATTTTTCTGTGAAATTAAATCACACACAGGGGGGAAAAGGCAAATAAACGTAAGTCTATCAATCAGCAAGCATCAGAAACAACCTGAGTTTGATAGTCTTAAGACTTTAAAGGAGAATAAAAATCTTACAAACTTAAAGCTGTAACAAACAAAACTCAGATAAATTCTCAAAGTGCATTCCATCATCACCCCCAACAATAATGGCAGGCAGCAGCCACAGCATATTTTACTTTAGGGGAAAACAGCCACCTCCTCCAGGTTTGTTTCCTCTTCTTCCATCTTCTGAATAGTCACACAGCAGCAGTCAGAAAGAAGGGGGCATTAGTGGGAATTCCACCAGCAGGGAAGAGATGCTATATTTGAACTTACAGTGAAGCAGCATTACCAACCTTTACTCGCTGGCCCTCAGAAGATTCTATTAAGCCATGTAGTCTTTCTTCACCTACAGTATTGTACAGATGGTGGAAATGATCCTTTGCAAAGGTGGAATGGAGAATGGAAGCCTCACTCTTTCTCAGTCCCTAGATTATGTTCTACTTTTGAGTAACTTTTTTCACCCAGGAATGAACATACGAGAGTGTAAAGATGGCAAAATTCAAGGTATCCGACTGTTAAATATCTAAACCAACTAGCAATGGAGCAAGGTATAGAAATATCAAATTTGTCTTTAGCTTTATGTTGGCTACAAATTTGACATCATTACATATTGCCCCATCATTAGTTTTTAAATATAGGTTTTCTTGAGGGAAATTTTGGTCAATTAGCTTTTTTCATACTAAAATAGTATATTTTCATAATATATTTCAATCTTTGAACTATAGCTACTTTTCTTCATAAAATTTTGATACAAGAATAGTTTTCTGTAGTTGGACATTTCTCAATATTTAATGACCCAAAAGAATGAATTTGGAGGTTTAAGACTAAAATACTGAGTGGATTTTGACACCAGGGAAAGAATGGTGAAACAAAACACTGATGTAAAGGGAAATTAGCTTTACAGGGTAATCCATCCACATGCTTTTTTCCTTCTTTGTTGAGAGGATAGTGATAAATATGAGAGTGCAAAATGTTCTTATTCGAGGTAAGCATTTAATAGTATTTTTGAGAGGTAAGCAGAGAGCTCAGACTATCTTTTTATCAGAGGTGAATGGTGAGACATAGCTGTTCTACAGTATAAGAACCACCCTCTAATTCCTTGGTCAATATCTGATTCTCTAAAAGGCTGGTCTTTGGCATTTCTCAGGTAAACATGAGGAATTGTGGGTTTTCCTACAATGTGTACCATTGCATTTCTTCACATCTTTCTTTAGGTTTACTTTGAATTTTGTGACTTCCTCCATATAGTCATAGTATCCACAAGATACAAGATGCTAAGTCACCAGACTACATTTACCAAATAATTAAAAATATACTGTAGATGTTAACTCTTAGTGCAGAGGTAGTATACTTTTATATGGGTGCAAAAATTCTCACACACCTAATTTTAAATTAAAAAGCATGAAGAGGCCAGCCTTTAGTGTTATATAACCTAAACTTTCAAAAAGCCATGTTTCATTTTTTCATACAGTTGTTAAAGATAACAGAGTATCATTTTCCATATAAAGTGCCTGATGGTGATGCATATAATTATGTATTTTAGAGTAGAGAAAAGAAGAAAAATAGCTAGCTAAAATTCACCTATCTGGTACCCATATGTTTATAATAGCAGATATGGAGTTTCTGAGATTAGACTTACGTCAGTGATAATTTACAGATACAGCCTCATAAATGCAAATACAAGGTTAAATTCTGAGCAAGAGAAATGAGAATACTAAGAAGCTCTATTAATATGCATCAATTACAGTTGTGTCTACTATATTCTAACTTCTACTTTAAAACAAAAAGCTGCCATGCTTAAGGAACAGTATTATCATTTATCTTCAAAACACAGTCACAGTATGAATGTTTAAGGACAATAAAGATTCCTGTCTCCTACTCCTTTCTTAACAGTCTAGAATGATTCAAAATGTTTATAAAATAATTTTACCATTTTGCTCTGAATTTAGAATGTGAGGACCTGGTCAAGGGGTACCAATGCAGAGCTGTACTTACACATAATTGCTCATGCACTAAAGCATATTGTGTGTGAAGAAGTGTACACATTATTTTGAGGGTAGTCAATGACATTTATGCACATATTTACACTCTGTTATTAGGAAGGGGATACAATGAAGAGCAGCTGGGTGGACTTCAAAAAATGTAGCTTATGGAGGAGTGATAGCAACTGCTTCTTCTTCCTCTGTTTTTTCATTCAAATCACAGTCATAAAAAAGTTTAAAGGAGGTAGCTTTTGCCTCCAGAAAGCAAAGAGCAAGTGCCAGAGGAAGTGAAAAGGTGAGAGAAAAAGGAATGGACTGAGAAGCTGAGAAGAGCAGCCCAAAGATGAGGATGAGGGAAGGAATGAATGAAGGGGACGTGATGGGAATGTAGTGCTGAACATCAGGAGGGAGGAAGGAGACCCAGAGTTTGGGGAGGCTGGGGAAAGCAAGATAGCCATCTTCATCGAGAAGGGAGGGGAAGCCAGAGACAAAACATTTGTAGAAGTTAAAGGAGAAGTAACCAATCTCAGAGTCCTTGTAGTCAGTCACCGTATGAGTCTTCTCAAGGATGGTAGAAAGACAGTCAGGCTGAGGAGGGACCACAACAGGATCTAGTACAGAATCTAGTGTGGGCACCTCAAGGTCGCTCTGTTCTGATGTATCACCTGAGGAAGGGTGCTCTAGGCTGACTAGTGTGATCTCATCAGCCTCCCCAAAAGGGTCTTCCTCAGAAATGTCTGACAGCACATCCACCTCGGGGACTGGCAGTAGGTGTGGGGAAAAAGATGAAGTACAACGGATGAGTGGGGAGGGTGGGCACATGCAAATGGTCTATTTTAAGAACAACCCATGATTGAATATAAAATCACACAGCAATTATGTTCAAAGGTAAAACAAATGTAAGAGGGAAATAGGAGAAAAGAAGAAATGTTAGTGAAAACTTTACTCTCAAGGTTTCTTATAAACACAGTCATTAGAAAATTAATTGAATGATCCATTTTTAAGGAAGAAAAGGATGACCTTTATCATATAAAATTTACAGGTTATCACTTGACTATTGTCTAACTGGCATTATTTACTCTTAAGCTTAGTCCTTGACAGATATTCAAAAACCTAATGTAATCGGTCATTTGCTAAAGACAATGAAGATTTCCTTTAGAATTTAAGACAAGAACTTTGGTTGTCTGGGGGAAAAAAATTTAAATATGTATGCACACCAAACTAAGTAGGGAAAGTAGAACATAGCTTTCTGAAATGTTTCAGATATAGTCATTTTCTTGGGTCTCTTGTTAGCATAACTCTTTTGAAAAGATTGATAACAACTCAGAACTTGAAGGACATCTTGTTGAACACAATTTGTGTTATTTTTGACTAATTACTTTTTCTCCACAAAATTTTTCAAAACAATAGTCATAAATTCTTTAACAACAGAATGCAAATTATTTTCTATTATCTGTCATGCAAAGCGTTTGTCCTTGTGGCACATAGTCTGTGATCTCTATGCTGGGACTTAGAGGATATCGGTGCAGAACTGCTATTGCACTATCAGGACTTCAACTAGCAGTTCCTTTCTAAGTTCATTGTGTGCATCTTTAAATTTTTCACAGTCAGAACTTAAAAAGTCAACAGCTTGATCTGAGAGATATGTACTTACTTCCATTGTTGCATGTAAAAAAGTTAACTTTGTACAATTACGGGAAAGCGGCGAGAGGCGCTCAAAAGCTTTTCAATCAGTATTTTACTGACTTTAGTACCCAACGTAACAGAATAGTGACATATTTGAGAATACAATTAAACAATTATTCTTTGCTTAAGAAAGAACGTCTTCATCGGCTATGGATTACTAATGAAAAATAATTTTTTCATAAAGACCACCGTGACTCATATCAAAAAATTTATGATAGAGGCTTTGAATTTTACTTGTAACAAAACATGTAGATTTCAAACCACCATAGCTTTTATCATCTGGTGATTCGATTGATAATTATAAATGAAAACAGAAACACCAGTGCATCAACTTACTTGAATTAATATAATTTACACTGAAATGTTTCACTTTGGAAAATAACCAAAACACAGTGAGAGACAACAGTCCAAATCCGAAAGAGATTACACATATTTGAAACTTGAGAAATTCTATCAGCACAAGTCACATGGTAACAATAAATATTTGACTTCTGAAGTAGAAAACACAGCAGGGAGCCTCTGCTCTAAGCACACCTTTATCACAATATGTCGTGCTCATTTGCCATACCTTTCCCTCAGCTAACTGCAAATGAGCAGCTTTAGTTGGGCTTCTGACATCCCTCCGGCTGTCGCCATCTTGTATGTTGACAACTCCAGGGCCATATACTGAAACTTCTCCAGGGAGGCCAGGAAAATCCTTCATAAGACTCTGGTCCACAACACCAATCGGAGCTAACCAGAAGATAAGTTTAGAATACATTAGGACTTGTGAATGGTAAAGAACACAGTGAGCTTTGAAAATACCAACATGTAATATAAACTTGTGGTTTTTTTTTTTAATTTATCTATTTTTTTTGAGACAGCGTTTTACTATAATAGCCCTGGCTGGTCTGGAACTTGCTAAGTAGACCAGGCTAGTCTATAAGTTTAGAATACATTAGGACTTGTGAATGGTAAAGAACACAGTGAGCTTTGAAAATACCAACATGTAATATAAACTTGTGGTTTTTTTTTAATTTATCTATTTATTTTGAGACAGCGTCTTACTATAATAGCCCTGGCTGGTCTGGAACTTGCTAAGTAGACCAGGCTAGTCTGGAACTCACAGATATCTGTCTGCCTTTGTCGCCTGGATGCTGGAATTAAAGGTGTGTACCATCATGCCTGATCTTTTAAACTTCTACCAAACTCTAAGAATATTCTGAGTTTTAACCCACTTTAATCCACAAGCAGCTAATTTGATTTTTGAAAGATATCCTCTCATTGTGAAATTGACCAGTAGGAGGAGCTCTGAGACCAGCTCAAACAGTCCAGCAGAATTAGAATGTAATCAATATTCTGGTGGATTTTTCCTAATCTGCCTACAAAAACAATCATCTAATTATTAAAATGATTTGCTAGGTTCTAAAAAGTCCTCCACAAAGCAACCTGTTATTTGAATACCAAAATACAGTAGATTTAAGAATTTACCTGTTTAATATTTTTCATTTTCTGATACTTCTGAATATCTCAACCTAAGCAACCTATAAAGAATCTAATATACACAGGTCTACCCCTTCTCTTGCCCAAAATCTGGTCCTTATGTAGCCCCTTCTTTCCCACAAAGAGGCAGAAATAGGTACTGTGCTAAGGTTTTCCTCACACTGTTAATCAACTCAAGAATAAACAAGGCAAAGTGAGGAGCAAGTGACAAGGTATCGCATATCTACACCGAGGCTCCTGAATTCCCAGGAGGTCATTTCCCCTGTATAAAAAGTGCTTTACAGGTGCCCTGTGGTTTACTCTGATTCCATGCATGAAGAAAAAAAGCCCAGTAATGAAAAAAATGCAAAGCCTACAAACTCTTAGAGGGCAGGACCTGTGTGTGACCTACCACAGTGATGAGGCATCAAGAGCTTTTAACCTAAGTACTACATGGTACCCCACAACCTTTACCTGTCTTGTCAAAATGTGCTTCTTTCCTAATCTTGCTTGTTCCATCACATGATAGTCTTATATGTGTACATATTTGCTTCAGCCAGGAACTTGGAATTCTAGAACATCTCTAACAGGAGCAAGCCTAACAGGGTCCTTGAATATATTTCTAAACACGGTATGTTCTTTCCATCTTTATTTCTACCACTTCACCTTCTGATGTTGTACCAGTCTATAAAGACTTTTGAAAACCCACACCAAGTCATCAAACATTAAAATGAACTCACATCTTACATTACATATGCTCATTTCCAGAGCTGTTTTTTTAACTTTTGATGAGCTTTGCTACAAATTCTCCTGTATATAAATATACAGCTATGTATAGCTCTTTAACTTATGATGACTTTAAGTACCCATTATACTCAGGAAATACTACAAAATGAGAAAATCTGACCTAGAAATGATTTGAAATGTATTCATGCTGAATCTAAGTGAATATAAAATTAAAACTTATAAAATAAAAAAAAAACTTACAAAAAAGTTGACAAAATGTTGACTGCATACTTTTAAATACTTATTAATTTCAAATGGAGTTTACTTTTGTATTTCAGAGTCAATAACTTTCCAGGTCTTAAAGACTATAGAATGCTGAGAAACTTGCCAGCCCAGGTACTGAGCCCAGGCTAAGTACTCCCACCCAAGGAAAGACCACTGCCACTCTCACGTGAACCACTCCAAGCCAGTCTGCCTGCATTCTGTCTCAATCCTCTTAGACAAATGATTTTGCAAAGATAATGCCATGCTCTTGTGTGATGGTATAGACACACTAAGCCCTCAATGATTTCCTACTTCAAGTAGAATAAAACAATTTCACAGTGACCTGAAGGCCCTGTAAGGCCTGATCACAGTCTGCCTCTCCTACTGGCCAAGCTTTGATTACGCTTGCCTTTTTTCTCTTCTTGGCTGTTTTAAGCTCACTCTCTTCTCAAAGCAGCTAGGCTGCTTTGGCTACCTGGAATGGTCTGTCTGCTCCTCTCTTCTCACAGCTGCATCCCTTTCATCCTAGTCTGAGGTTCTTCCTCAGATGGCCTTCCTTTTCCTGAAGAAACATCCCTGCTTACTCTATCTTTTTCCAATTTAGAAAATCACTATCTCCACTTCCAAATGCACCTGAGTTGGTAGTTCTCTAAGATGACTGACTGACTTGCCTCCTTTTTGGTTCAATTTCATAATCTCAAAGGAGTCTCACTGCTTTGCAATAGCTGTTCTACATTGATTTTTATTTGGGGTCTTTTAGATAGCACATTAAATTGTGTTTTCTATGTAATCACTGAGTTGTTTTTTGAAACTTTAAAGAGAGGATTATTTACACATCTACATTTATCTAGCATAACTTTTAGGAGTAAACAAAAAATAGGAACCACAATGCATGTCAACAACACAAAAGGAATGCTGGAGAAGAACCGGAGAGAAACACAACTCTGTTGTAGGTTATAGACTAGTTTTGCTTTGAAGGGAGAAAAAGAACCTAAGCCCAACCAGAGAGTCCCCTGGCTGTCTGGCCACACACTGGCATGAAAAGCCTCCTATTTTTCACAATAACACAATCATCCTTTTGATGACTTGCCCATCTGATGAATAACAGTGTCCAAAACACAAAGGGAAAAATAATGGATTACTGTGCCACATCTGTTGCTTTTCCTTGTGAAAATCATTGTTTCAGATACAGATTCCTACAACCCTCTGCACTAACTGCTCAAACAAGATGATGAGTTTCCCAGAGCACTGTTTATACACCACAAAAAGATGTACTTGTTTACTACTCTTTTTAAACTCTAAAACTCACAAGAGTTATATAGCCTCACAGCTTAAAACAAAGGCTGAAAACACTGTTCCAGAAAAAGCAATAATTCCTCTTAGGGCTTTAAACAACACTGATTGCATTTACTCAACACTTGTGGCAAGAGGCAAGGCATAAGATGTATTTATATGGTTTGGCACATGTTTCAGATCTACTCAAGAAAGTGCTTAGTTGTTGACTGGCAATACTAATTCACTAAATTTAAATTAAAACATCTGGAAATGTGGACATTCACTTAAAGCATAGTTAGGGTTCCCTTGCATATTTTTCTGATGGTTCCTTAAAACTATATTGAAGACCCCATAGAAACAACATTTAACTTCCATACATGAACATACCCACCAACAAATCCTGGGAAATAGGTTTATATGTCCACCTGCATCTATTTCCTAAATATTTTTACTAATAAAAGTAGATCAAGGTCAATGTCAATCCTTCATTAATGGGAAAGTATTCTTAACTGCTAGTATGTGTCTGTTTTACCTCATTATTTAAAATATAAGTTGTTCAAGTTCATATTTCAAAAATATATCAAGGAACAATAATCAAAAAAGTTTTGCTAATAGCAGTAAAATAAAATTATTTTTCAAACTCACTTTAGCATTAAATACAAGCAGTGATATTCAAAATTATTTCTCATAGAAAATTAATCACACCAATCATCATGTATTATATAAAAAGAAAAGCATTTAATAAAAACTTAACCTTATCTCTTATAAGAAACCTATTATTAGTCCATAATTTACTAAGCAATAAAATATAGGAAAAAAGCAACAATTTATTTCCATATATAGTTTATATAAAATTACAAATATGTAGGTCATCAGAACATTAATAGAAAACACTGATAATATCTCCTTAGACAAATGAGTATATATTTCTTTAGAAACTGCATTTAAAATTAATCCTTTGAAGCCAGGAGTGGTTTGGTTTCTCATACTGGAAGTTTGGTAGGCTTCAGAAAGCAGAACTTAAAATTTGATGATGATAGAAATGTTTTACATTCATTTGAACTAAGGTTCATATGCTATTAAAAAAAAAAAACCTTAGAATTATGCCATTAACAAGTATAAGAAATTAAGCCACAGAAGACATATCATAATCAAATAAAATGAATAAAAACATTAATCCAACATCTCTAAGCATGAACAAAAACACATAAAGAACATTTATGTATGTTGCCAATACAAAGAAAATGCATGCTCAGATGACAACTTGAAAACACTCTAAAATTATTTTATTCTGAAGGTAACAGCATTTTATTGACTTGGTGAAAACTATCCTTCTACAGTACATCTGGTGTTCTTATTAACAAGATGATTATTTTCTGACCCCACCAGATGAAAAAGATGAATAGACTCCACAATTATTTTAAGTGTGTTTACCTCCATCTAGGCTCCTGGAGACCCGTTTACTAGAAGCACGTTCAAAGTGTGGTGCTGGCCTGTCGATGAGAGTGCTTGCCTGGCGTGTCTGTGCCTGGGTGCGGCCACTATAGCGGAATTTGGACCCCAAGGTCAGGAACTTGGCCTTTGGTGGCTGCTCTGGAGATACAAGCCTACAAGGGGAGGACCCCAAGTTAGTATTCAGGTACATTTTTTAAAAAGCATAAATTTTAATATATCACTTTAAGATTGTCAAAACAGTGCTACTTAAGCTTTATAATTAAAAAAGGAATGTTATTTATAAACCTTCCTACAGATATAGTTACATAATGGTGATGTATTCATGAATTTCTCAACCTGAGCAAAGAGCAGCTGTTTTCAGTGTGTATCAAGGGTATTTATCTGTATTAGTGTAAATTATGTATATAAACACTTATGCCTCAATTTGTGCTTCTAGCTGTAACTGCCAAGTAAAAACCGAAGTAACACCATTAGTAACTCTTAATATTTATGCCTCTTTCTGGTGGAAAAAACATCTACCTCAAGAGTCTGTTCTGTCAAGTGATTCTTTCTCATGAAGAACAGAACTCACACAGTGGATCTGTAGAGATGACTAATAGTCTTTCTTGCCAGCATAATTCTACTGTGTAAGCCTTGGGTTCATAACTAATGAATTCAAACCTTAATGGCAAATAACTTCCAGACTTACATAAAAAGCATGTTTTCAGTAAATAAGTCAATCTTTTTAAATACAACTGAAATTATCCGGCTTGCATTGTTTAATTAAGAACTGAAAAATGTCTTAACAAAAAAGGTAATCCCAGAGATCTTATAATTTATTAAATAACATTTAGTTGACATTTCAAGAATATGGAGAATGCCACCAAAACTTTTCCTATAATTTCCCAAGGAAAAGTAGATTTTTCAAGTGTTTTTTGAAAACATCTCAAGTATTTCTAGATTTTCTGTATAATTTTAAGAAATTATCTGCTTAGTGAACAATGAGTTCCAAGTCAAACTGAAGTTAGATGTGAAATCTGCAAAACATAATCCATTAAAAATTCTCAAAATAACATTCATCTAGAAAAGCACTGTGCTAGAATTAAATGATAAAAGAAAGAACTAATGTATGTCAGGCTTCCTTAGCCGAAATCTATTCATGTAGTAAAGTTTAACTACACAGACCATATTTCACTTTCTGCCTATAAATTTTCATAGGAGACACAAATAACAGTTCTTGACTTCTCTTTGCTCATTTACCTGATGGACTGAACAGGGCAGTTTCCCTAGCTAGCAATCCAGCTAAACATGACCTGAAAATGTTTTTGTTTTTGTTTTGTTTTTAATATTTTGTTTGTTATTTTTATTTTGTGTATGAGTAAATTGCTTGCGTGTATGTAAACGTGCCTATGTCATGCAATGCCCATGGAGGTCAGAAGAGGGCACTGGATTCTCTGGAACGGGAGTTATGGATGGCTGTTAGCTGTCATGTGTATACTGGGGACCAAACGGGTCTTCTGCAAGAGCAGCCAGTACTCTTAACCCCTGAGCCATCTCTCCAGTCCCCTGAAAATGCTTCACAGAAAACAGTGATCTACAGAAACAGGAGTTTCTCATCAGTACAGCAACTGATAAAGAAATATTTATTCTCTCTGAAAAGCAGCCTAGCTAAATCACAATGATCTTTATTGCCTATTCATGAAGTACACTCTGATGATCAGTAGAGGAAAAAAAAAATTAAAGAATATCTCAAGGGAAAAACATGCATTGATACTCAAAAGAAATCTCCAAAACAAAATTTGTTCAGTGTTCTCCTGGTGTCATAGGGACATAGCCTTGAAGAATAACTTGTGCTCTCTTATAGTGGGAATTTAGGAGAGGGAAACTGTTGTTATAATAACTGCTACTAAATAGTTCTATCTTAATAAAGCATAACACTAATAAAATAGTTTTTTAAATGAACTTTAAAGTGAACTTGGTTTTGTTGTGTTTCCCATCCCCCCAATTCTAAAGGACCCTTTTAAAAAAAACCTACTTACAAATCACTAAGTTAATCATATGCAGTGCACAGGTTTCCATGAAGTTCTTTGTGATGTAGCTGACAACACCAATATACTTGGAATCAGTCTGGTTCTAGGATGCTAAATTTAAGTAGCAGGAGAACTTCCAGCTGGAAGAATCTACTGTTTCTCACTAAACTGTGAGAACAAAGCAATGAAGAACACAGAAGGAAGTTCACTCCCTGCAGATGTCCTGGAAGGCACACTGACTAACACTGGGAGATAGTATGATTTCCATCTCCACCTGTTACCCTCCATGCCACCATCGTATTTCTTAACTTCTGTTCCTCTGGTTTTTCATATGCAAAGTACATATTAAAATAATCCCCACACAACACTTAGAATGGTAGTAGGATCTATCAAATGCAAAGATAGTTGCTTTATTATCCCATTTGTGTTCTGCTAAAACAAGTTTCTATGATTTCAATTAACAGAAAGGCCTGTTTATTTTTAATAGCTTCAATCTGAAAGCCTAGCCAAAAAGAAGAAATTACTGATCTGACTTCAAGTGTCCTGAAGACACATGATTTGCCCCTTCCACATAAGATGTGCTGTTTTATAAAGCTTTGAAGGTGTTACATAGATTAACTATTGGCTGACTAACCATCATCTCAAAAATTTACAGAAGCAAAAATGGTCTACTTTTCAATAGGAATCTCATGAGTAGAGATTATTGTTTGCATCACATAGGGATGATGAAAGTGAAGCAAGGCTAAATAACTTAACAACTATTACACAGCTAGTATGTGACAAAATAGCATTACATTCTAAGTCTAGAGTAAACACCTCAAAAATGAAAGGTCTATCTATATAGCTAAGAGACTGCAGTAACAGAAAACAGAGGAGATCAAAGCAACCAAACTACTTGTGAAAAAAATATCCCTAAAAAGGAGTTTTAAAAATGAAATAGAATACAAGCTAAAGATGGACTGTTCAGGGTCAAAGGAAATCTTTCGGGTTTTTGTTTGTTTGGGGCCTTGGGTTTTTAAAGAAGATATAGTCAAAGAAAGCAAAGGTATATACTAGGGAAAAAAAATTACCAAGCAGGATCCTCTGGGGAGGCATGAAATAAAAAATCAAAACAAAGCAATGTTTATCCCTTCCTCAAGACAGGAGAAGGTGAAAAAATGAATGGTGGTGAGGGGAAGTGGTAATAAATTAGGCGAAAGGAGAAGATACACGAAAGGGAAAACATTCATGCCCCACAGCTTCTACTGTAAATGTACACCATGGAGAACCTGAGAAGCAGGTGTATCTGAGGACACTAAAAGACCATGAGTATGTGGGATGGCAAGAGAAGTGAAAGCACTGACTAGCTGGTTGGAAATAATGAGGATCTAACTAATGCTGGACATTACTTTTCTAAAATCGTACTAATCCACAGGGTTGTGCTACTGTATCAATCACCATAAAAGTGCTACTTAGGTTAGCACTTGACAGCACCGGCATAGAAATGGTGAAGTCAGAATAGCAGCAGGCTGACACAGTAAACTGGGAAAGTTGGTATTGAAATAGGAAAGGTGCTTCAAGGGGTTTAAACATTCCTGACAAAATAGCTGAAGGGAACAATAACTGGGTTCAGGCTGGTTGAGAAAGAAGTTAAGTCCAGAAAAGCTGGTAAGAAAAGGCTGAATTATACCTAAGGCAGGAGGGACAGCAGCAAGTGGGAGCAGTATGATGGTGGTGGAAGGCAACTATAGGGGAACCTACTGAGGCAGACCACAGCACGACCTCAGGCACTGGAAGTAACCAGCATGATATGACCTCCCACCCCTCCCTGGAGAAAAAAGACTCTGAGGCATGGCGTTGATACATCTGCCATACTATCAACTACCTCCTAACCTGGACAGCATACCAACAGCAAGTGATTCCAAGAGACTTCTTAAACTTACCTGTAGAAAGTGTGATGTTCCACGCATACTTTCCATAGCCTTTTAGCTGCCCGATGGTTTGGCAGTTTGAATCCAATGGTGCTCTCAAACTGTTCCAGCTGGACATAAAACAAAACAATCCATAAAACAAAATCAGCCTTTCTCCTTAAGCACTAACTACAAGCTACAAGCATGGATTTGGTTGTTTCTGTCAGAAGTAATTCTTCTTCAGGAAAAAAGTGTTTGTATACTACAATACTTTTTTCCATGAAAAACAAGTATTCATTGCCAATATAAACTGACTATTCATTGAAACCTACTTAATCACCTATTAACCTCCACTACTTAACTGAACCAACAACAATAACAAAATGTGCCCCCGTTATGTCAGGCACATACTACATTTTGGCTTTTGTGCAAGATCTAGTGGTAGTGTGTTTTAACAAAAAGGATGTAGTATGCAGGCTTATCGAGAACCCTGGCTCTTGCACTACAGAACAAAGAAGAATTTATTTTCTTAAGATTTTTAGTAGCAAGAATTCACTTATCTCTCCTGTTAATAAAAGAAAATCTCAATATGGGATTTGCCATGTCGAGGGTAGAATCACTGCTTACCTCTGCTGGTCTAACTTTAATGTAGAAATTGCTGCGCTTATAGGAAATTTTCAGGATTTTTGGCCAGGCAAACCGATTAATTCTCAGTCTGTCTTTGTAAATGAGAAGGCCATTAGCACACACGCCCAACTTGATATCCACTCCTTCTGAGTCCTGCCACGCATAACACATTTGACCTCAATTAGAATGACATGAGTTTCACAGACTGAAGCAAATCAAACTTCCCCAATGACTGAAAATGTGAACTTAGCATGTTTGTGTTTAATTTTAGTGAGAGTATAGAAGTTAATTCCAAGAGTAGAACATATGCACACATTAAATGAATTCATTTTCAGGGACTGGGTTGGATTTGGAAAGGCTTAAAGGACCCAATAATCTTCCAAAGGAATAATTTGTGCATTTTCAAGCTCTGGGAAGAGTTAACAGAGTAGAAAGGAAAAAGAACCAGATTTAGGCATCTTGAAGATACTGAAGATGAAATATATTTTCCTGGAGTGAATCCAGTCCTCAGGAACAGTCTGCCGGCCTACCATAAAGTACATGCTGCCATTTTATTTTAGCAAACTCAGAAGCATTATGCTTGCTGACAGCTGTTAAAATTATACCTATGTTTTGCAAAACACCAGTCCTTCACAGAAAATTTCTCTTCTAGGCTGACAGTGTTGAGATCTGTGAATTCTTTCAAGCAATTTTTCAATAACTTAAAGTGCTAACATCCACTTCTCATTAAGCATTCCTTTGGCTGGCATATTTCAAAGGACTAAAGACCATTTTTGAAGCTATTAATAGTTTCCTTTCTCCAGAGATTTAATTTGGAATAGAGGACAATCTAAAATAATTGCAAGCCTGAAAAGTTTTATTTAACCAAATGAATTTACAGACAAAAGTGGAAAATTGATGGCTTAAAGTACTTTATATAATATATATATTTTTTTTTAAAAAAAGAAACGACTAACTTTGTCCTCACATTTCAAGTAGTGCTGAAGATGTCAGATGTACAATATTCAAAATAGATAGCCATCTTTAAAGGAGGAGATGATCTCAGTCCAGATAGGTAAATTCAACAGAATTATTCAGAGATACTCATATTTTCAGAAATCATTAACAACATGGAACCAATTTTCACACCAAAAAGTCCTAAAATAAATACCACATTAAGTCTAAGTCCATATTCAATAACAGCATAGGAGTCTGATTGCTATTTACTAAGGATAATTTAACACAATTTGTATTAGTTAAAAAAAATAAAACTATGGGAACTGGAAAGATGGCTCAATGGTGAGGAGTGCTGGCTGCTCTTATAGAGGACCTGGGTTCTGTTCTCAGCACCCACATGACAACCATTTGTAAATCCAATTTCAGGGGATCCAACACCCTCCTCTGTGGGCACTGCATGCAAACGGCGCCCTTAAATACAAGCAGGCAAAAGAATTATACATAAAATTTAATGTTTTAAATAAAAGTACAGTATAGTCAATTGATACCAATTTTTCTGCAGTGATACCTTAATAATCCAAATACAAGTCCACAAATAAATTACCTTACATCAGATTGAGCAATTAAAAATAAATATTTACCTGGGATTCCAAGATGGCTCAATCAGTAAAGCACTTGCAGCAAAAGACTGAAAGCCTGAGTCCAATCCCCAGAACTGAGGTAAAAGTGGAAGGACAACTCCACAAAGTTGTCCTCTGACCTCTACAATTGTACCAAGGAGTGTGCACCATGGCGTATGTGCCCACACTTACACATTCTACATACACAATAATAAAGTAGAGAGAAGTAGAGAGAGAACAAATGATCCTCACATCCATAAATTTTATTAGTAACCCAAGAAAGATTAGATACCTTCAAGTGAAGGCAATTACCCTTTTTCCAAAGTGAACCAGGCTACTGTGAAACTGACTACTGGACCCTTGTCAAAGCTGCAGTTCCCAGACTAAAATGGTACTATTTCCCTTGCATTTACAATACCTTGGCATGATGCAAGTCAACACCATACATGGAAAGCCTCTTTGCATTTTCTAAGAACTGAGAATCAGCTTGTGCTGGAGATAAGCCCCTGAGAATCAAAAGAAACAGTATTATCTTACTAGCAGATGCAAATGTACTCAAAATAGATTAGAGGGGTATGTGAGTTTGGAGGGTCTGGAATACACAGAGTAACTTAGCTAAATTTGTAGAAAAGTAGAAAAAAGTATAAAGACTCAAATCTCTGCCCCTAGCATTTTCTCTTAAGGTCCTTTAATCTTAACTTACTGCAAGGCAGACTTTTACCTTTACCTTTTTAAAGCTTAAAAAACTGCTTTTCAATATTCTCACTAGGAAAAAAAGCCTGAACAGTAACAGGCACAACATAAACTAAGAGAATGAAAGTGGTTTCACTTTTTTTTTTTTTTGTCTTTTTGAAGCAGGGGCTTCCTGGAGCCCCAGCTGTCCTGGAACTCACTATGTAGGCCAGGCTGGCCTTGACCTCACACAGATCCTCCTGCCTCTGCCTCCCAAGTGCTGGGACTAGGGGCGTGCGCCATCACACCTGGCTGGTTTCACCTTTTTGAGATGAATAAATTCTTATGTCTTCATTAATTTTGCAAGAATTGATCATATTAAAGATCATAATTACTTATATTTGATTTTATAGCTATGATAGATAACATTCTGTCTACAAAAAATATTTCCATTCCTATCTATCTATGTCTACAACTAAATAAATTTAGGCTTCTGGAAAATGGGTCTACAGAGCATTAGTCTTCATACCCATGACATTTCAGCACCTACCATTTTAAATTAGAGTAACAGAATATATAACTGTAAAGTAGAACTAAATATAGTAAGAGAATTAAATACTGCACTTTACCCTTTTTAAACAACAGTCAACAGATATGCCCACTGAAAAAAATTAAACCTCTGAAAGTTCTTTGCAAAACATTTCAGGCAATATTTTATAAAACTACAGCTTTATAATACAGAACAAAATAGGGGGATGGACAAATGGCTCAGCAATTAAAAGTACTGGCTGTTCTTACAGAGGACAGGGATTTGATTCTCAGTACACCCATGGTGGCTAACAACTGTATGTAACTCCAGTTCCAGGGGACCCAAGACTCTCTTCTGATCTCTGTGGGAACTGTATAACACCAGGTGCGCTTACAATACATACAAGCAATACACTCATACACATAAAATAAAAATAAAATTTAAAAAATACAAAACAAAATCGTTTTATAGCCTAGAGTGATAAAAACAAGTGAAATACCCATTTTCACAGAATACAGAAGTATTCAAGGTACATGTGGCATAGAAGTAATTTAAGTAACCCTCACCTAAATCAAAGGGCATGTTCTGTGGCTAGAAGAGTCAGCTCCACCTTTCAGTTGCTAACCCAATCCATCGCCACCCACCTTTCCAATTCGAATCCAGACACCTCATGATATTGAAAGATAAATGATAATGAAAGAAGCCCTGGCTTTCTTCTTTTAAATAATATTTTTATTTAACTTTTGAAAACTTCACACATGAATGTGTATTTTAATTTCATCTACCCCTCAGAACCATCCTGCTTTCTTATGAAATGTAGTAATAAAAATATTTGAGAGGCAGAAGAAATGTGAAATAAATACCAGACGAGTTTGTACATGTTTGTTTCCTATGTGTCTGTTAAGGAATAGAACAGGGAAGGGTGAAGGACATGTACATTATTCCAACAGTGAAGGAATTTAGCTTCAAGAACATAACCCCTCATACTACAGTCAGAGAAATAATGAAAGGGCATCTCAAGGGCTACAGGTAATCTTCATCAGTGCTGGAAAGCTCCAAAAGGAAAGACTAAATAGATCTGTATGCAAATGTCAAACTACATCTACCCACCATGGCAAGTGCCTCTCTCTCTCCAGCAAGCAAATCAACAGACCTGTGGGTTTTATGCAGTTCTGCCACCTTCTCTTCCAGCTCCTTCGTCTGTGTCGGTGCAAACTGGAAGTCACTCAGATCAATACTGCCATGCTCTTCTGGGTCATAGTCCCCAAGCTCAGCCTGCAGTGTGTACGATCCCAAGAGGGCATGCGTCACAAAAGAGCAGGGCAGGCGGCCAGAGGCGATGTCTTGCCGCAGCTGAAGGCACAAGAAGTATCTGTGAGGAACAGGAAGAGAAATGGGTTGAGAAGAACCTTTAGTGAACATCATAACACTCTTAATTCCTTAATTGTCTAATATTCCTTGGAATATAAATATATATTATTAGAAGTCTTCATAATCACAGCAAAAATAGTCTTTCTCTGATCCTTATATTCCTAAACATGTGGCTTATTTCTAGAAACTAAGAAAGCTAATTAAGAGAGTGGAAATTCTGGGCTGCTGGTTTAGTAATGCTTACTTTATGGTTGTTAATGAAAAAAAGAGTTTTGCAACTGAAGTAAAAAAATTCAATTCTTAAGTTACATCCTTGGGTTTAAAACTGTAATAGAAATTAGCACAACTCCCAGACAAACAAACAAGCAAATAAAAAAACCCAATACCACTGGGCGTGGTGGTACATGCCTTTAATCCCAGCACTCAAGAGGCAGAGGCAGGTGGATCTCTGTGAGTTCAAGGGCAGCCTGGTCTACATAGCGAGTACCAGGCCAACTGGGGCTACAGGGAGACCCTGTCTCAAAAAGACAAAAAAAAAAAAACAAACAAACAAACAAACAAAAACCTAATACCTCAGTCTGAATTATTTGTAAGAAAAGTTATGGTCACATGGTCAATCTTGTGCATCACTACCCTATTCATACTATTTCTTCTTTTCCTGAAATACCTTTAACAACAATTATAATTAAATCTACTCTGAAGCCCTCACTTGCCCGCTGCCTGTCTAGAGATCACTGGCTCAGTTTGGCAGAGGAAACATGCACTTTGAAGTCAGGAAAGATGACCTTGTAACCCCCTGAGCAAGTTAAATTACTTGCCTGAGGCTAATTTGCTGCCCTTAGGAGCAGAAGTCTTTGAAGGTAAAAGTTAGACACCACCAATAAATGGGCACAGTGCCTGGGAATGTAACTGGTAACTCAGTAGGAACAGCCATTCACAGTCAGTGATCTAAGCACTTACTATAACATTACAGAAGAGTTTTCATCTAAATTAACATGCAGAAACATGTGGTTTATGTTCTGTGGGGATTTTTTTTTCTTTGCAGTTCCATTATCAATTCCTTTGGGTAATGTGCTAAAACATGGTATCTATTCTCAAGGTTTACCACTTTCTGAGGCCACCAAGGAGTTCCCTGAAATAAAGAGCAGTGTCCTCACTTTCAAGTTTTTTTTAAGAATTATCACTCATAATTCTCCCCATGGACAACTCGGTCTAGCCAGGGTTTTAAAACCCACTCTTGTCCTTCCTCTTCTTACTCTCTACCCCACAGGTACATGAAGCACAGTCTTTGGTCCACCATCATTGCTGGTGAGTCAGAGTATTCCACTTGTCCACACCGGGTCTCCAGAAAAGTCAGGAACTCTAGTATCATTATAGGCCTGTTAGCAAAGTACTCAGCAAAGCATCGGCAAGTGCGCGATGATTTTTCTGATTGAGTCTTCTCACTGGTACTACACTCTGAGTATTTCCATGCATTTCAGAAGTCCTCTTTTGAAGGAAGGTTGTGCTTCCTTGACCTCTAGAACCAGATGAAAACAGCTGTACTTACTTAAAAAACTAAATTTTAAACTATGATTCCAGGTTATGCTCTAATCTCTAACTAGTAATCATCTAGCTCTCCCACACCCTGAGAATACCCTCCTGCTTCTTTATGTTACTTCTCACACTAGATCTTTCACAGCCTAAGCCCAAGTCCGAAAAACTTCCAAAAAAGCCTCACAAGATATTTTCTGAATTCCCCAGATCCACTTTCTTTACACAGCACAAGAAAGTATTTTTCAGACATCATTCTAAATAATGTTCCTGGCCTCTTCAAAAGCCTATTGGGCCTGCTAAATGTTAACTCGCAGTTAAGACTTCAATTGAGACATATCAGCTGCAGATCCCACACACAAGTGCTACACACTGAGGTCTCCAGTTAACACAGCACACTCTATCATTCCTCCTGCCACAGACTGGAGAAACATTCAAGCACTATTTGTATGGAAAACCAGAGCATACGCCTATGCAATAAAGCTGCAGTCACCATAGGATTATCATTCCCCAAACAAATTACTGCAAGATGTGCATAGCAGAGGACACTGGGTCACAAATCCCCCATTATATTCATTGTTAAAAGACACTCCTGCAGCGAAGCTCTGTCCCCCACATGCCAACCCATCATGGGTTTATGTCCTAAGCAGCTCACTGTGCAATCACAAAGTTAGTATTTACTATGAAAATTAGGTGGAGCTAACTGAATCAGATCATGATTAGTATATTAGTAGTAATTAGTACAGAAGTGCACTGCTATTCAGCTACAAGTAATAAAAGAACAAATAAAACGCCTGCCATTTTTCCTATCTCAGAAAGAAATCACCATCATTTCAAGCTCACATAAATATTCAACACTTTTTAAAGTGCCTACACATCCTGATGTACAAACTGGCCGAGCAGAAAGCATGAAAGGCACATGAGACAAACAGAGTCTTTCACTAACATCCTCCTGTTACACACAGTCTTCCCTGGCCATGTGAATAA